CTCTTTGTTACATTCCCCTTGATCATGCCCTACCAGGTCTCCCACACCCACCTCCCCACCAATTTGGATCACTTGCCATAAGTCTTTTCAAGAGCCCACTGCTCCATCTTTCCTCAGCTGAGCAGCGAGGGATTTGAACCTCCCACCTTGGGATTAGCAGCCCAAGGTTTAACCCACTGTACCATCAGGGCTCCTATTGTTCCTTAACCCGCCTCATTGATCTGTTTGACATTATAAGCAACTGTCATAAAAAGAACTTCTAAAATAAATTTATACTTCTAAAATGCTCTCTTGGCTGTGTACATGGAGGCCCCATGCGAGATTGTATGTCAAACGAAGATTCTCCTGAGGCTGTGCTTGGTTTAATCAACGTGTTTGACAACTGTGTTTGCCTCCGCAGAGTCCAGCACATCGTGGGGAATCTGGTTATGCAGCTCATTTTGGGCATTCCCTTGGAAATGGTCCACAAAGGCCATCGAGTGGGGCTGGTGTACCTGGCCGGAGTGATTGCAGGTCAGTGCTCTGAGAGGAACGCCGAAGCGAAACCTCTGGGTTAGAGAGGATAATGCTAATGTGTGGAGTGCCAGAATGCTCCTTAGAGGCAAGGCTGGTGAGCCTCTGTCTCAGGTATTTTGGATATGACAGGAGAGACCAACCAGCCCCTGGAGAAGGACATCCTGTGTGGTAGAGGGGCAGCACAAAAAGAGGAGACCCTCAACAAGGTGGACTCAGACAGTGGCTGCAACAGTGGGCTCAAGCAAGAACAATGGCGAGGATGAGCAGACCGGGCGGTGTTTTCTCTGTCATCCATAGCGTGACTATGAGTTGGGACTGACTCACCGGCACACAGCAACAACAATCTGTTCTCCATGTCTACACTTTCGTCGTCTAAAGAAGGTTACATAAATGGAATAGGAAAGGGTGTAGCCTTCTGGGATTGGCTTGCTTCAGTCAGCATAATTCTCTGGAGATTGAGGTTAGTTTGTTGCATGTCTCAGTAGCTCATTCTCTTTAATTGCTGAATAACATTCTATCATCTGGATGTTCCACAGTATGTTTAATCATTTACACATTGAAGAATGTCTGAGTTGTCTCCCATTTTTTGCTGTTATGAATAAAGCTGCTATAAAAAATTACACATGG